TTTTTTTTTTTTTTTTTTTTTTTTTTATTTTTTTTTTTTGAGAAGGGTCATCAGGATTCCCTATTGTACAGTGTAACACAGCAAAAAATTTGTACCTTTGTCATTCAATTTTTTAGTTTTCTTCCACAACAGAAGAGTGAAAAAACGAGAGCTATCTATTTTTTTGATGATAAGCTTTTCAGTAGAATAAAAAATAATTTATTCAAATCAAGTGCATATAAGTTCAGAAAAGCTCATTGCAAGAATTGATTTAGTAATCTCTGTTAATTTTTCAAAATCAAGACACATTTATATATTCTTTATAGTAAAGACCAAAAAAATTCCTCTAATTGTTGAAAAATAAAAAACTTAAAATGACCAGAAACTAAAAAAAACGGGCACTTTCATTCAAATAAAAATTTCATGAATTATCAAACGAACTTTGCTTGACGCCAAATCAGCAACAGATTTGCTGGTCTGTACGGTTTCCAGCTGATCCAGCACCCAATCCAATTCATCCACGGTGTCAAACGCCCGCTGTAACACCAGTTCCGGTAGCTGTATCGAATGAAGTGGTGGACGTTTCGGGATCGGACGATGCCTTTCCTCGTTACTTGGCAGATTCGCAATTGCCACCACATTATTACGGATGTTCCGTAGGCTAGCAAGGATTTGTGCAAACGGTGTAACAATTAGGTCATCACCATGCCTAAATACTCAGCATCTCATCAGAACCCGCTTAGGCCAAAACCACAGAAACGGTTAATATAATTTTTTTCTTTTTTGCTCACTTTTTGTGTTATTTATTTCAATTTTGGGTTTTTTCATTTCATTTCAATTTTTTTCATAGATATGAATGAACTTATAATTTCAGGTTTCATGGCTTATTTTCTTCCAGCACTTCGTTGATTCACTGACGATGAACATCAGTTATAGTAAGGAACAGGGCAATAGCAAAATGATGAGAAAAAGTGGTAAAGAAGAAAGTTTCTGGTTAACAGTCTAGTCGACTTTTTTTCAAAATAAAAACAAAGAAAAAAGACTGTACCATTTGAAAGTTCCATACATTCAGTTTTTTCATATTAAAAAGCTATTTAAAAACCATATTTCTGCGTTCTTAAAGGCAAAACGAACAGCGGTAAATAACGATACTTTGCGCTTTTTTGAACATTTTTCAAAGCTTTTTAATCTTGCTTCACATAATATACTTG